AGTGTGATAAGTGTCACATTTTCCTTGGACCAAGTGTTGACTAATGGTTGGAAGCATGTGAATGCAATGGATTGTGACAAGTTTAGAGTGTATTTTAAACCTTATGAGGATGCCTTGGATTGTGACAAATGGAGGGTGGAGATTAAAGTGTGTGTGTGTGAGGTAGTGCTAGTGTAGTAAAGTGTATACAAGCCACTTAGTTAGTAGATAAACTAGAGATTTCCACTCCATATAGATGAAGGTAGTATGTAGTTGACTTAGGGTTTTATACTACTTAAGCATGTGTAGAATATATCTCTTGTAAAGTTGTTGTTTCATTTGGTGGAGAATTATTTTCTAGTGATTTCATGTAGTTGTAACTGTGGAATTCTTATTTGATTCTTGCCAATGATTTCATTGTAAACTTAATACTATGTTATTGTTTAATCAAAGGTGTAAAGCTTACTATATTAACATGAATGGATTTTCTAAGTTGACATCATTGTGTTAGTGTAGTTTTATACACATTGTGGACTTGTCTTTATAATGCCATTGTAGTCTTCAAGACTTAGAGCGTGAAATGTGTGGTCCTAAACTTACTTGTATGTATGAAAAATGGTTTTGTGCATTGTATACCTATGTATATGTTCAGACACTATTGTTGATTTTGGAGAAACTTGGGATATTGTTTCATTCACATGGCTAGAGTTCAACTCTAGTGCGGGAGGTATGAGTTCTCCCCAATATAGTGCGCACTTAGGTAATTTCTTGCGGGTTAGTAGCCCTAATTGTCTTAGTTGTGATGTTCATAACCAGATGCTCGTGTCAAAGATATTCCTATTGTTTGATTTCATATGTTATTTCCAAGTTGACAATATTATGTAATTGTAGCTTGTTGTTTGGCATGGGATGTTCCAATTTGTTTAAGTGCATTACTTGTTGTGGACTTCGTTTAAAATTCTTTAAAGTTTGTTTTAGGATGATTCCTTAGCTTGACCTTGAAACTAGATGTTAGAAGGCATGATACACATGTATTTGTCTATATTACGCTTGCAAAACCTTTGAAACTTTAGGTTATACGTATACGCATTTCTTACGGAATAATTCCAATTACTCACCCTAGTTGATCATTGTTTTTCAGGCAAGGAAGTACTCTTCTTGGATTCACATCATCCTTAGCTCGGACTTGTGTTTACGTTTTGAACATCTTTTGTATGTTATTAGCATGCAAGCGTTAGCATGTTGTATTTGTCTTTTGAGGTTGATAATGTGTAATATATGTAGAAGCTTGCTTAGCTTCCTTTTGCATGTGTAATATCCACCAAGTACCTTCTTTTGTTTAAGTTTGACATGTATGTAATGTGGCTAAGGGCTAAGCACTTTTAATATGTGAATTATGTCATTTTGTTTCAGGTTTTTATCTCTTTGACATCTCATGCACTTGGGGGCATTTTCGTCATTTTACTTTACTTATCTTTCTTGGTTTAGACCATAGGGGATCTAAGGATCAAATTTGGGTAGGGGTTTCTTCAAAAAAAAATTCCAAAAAGTCTCATTTTCACAAAGAATTTCAAAAATTACAAAATCTGCAAGTTTCAGTTGATCGTTCGCAGGTGCCCATGATCGATCGCACCTGAGAAAATTTGGTTGTTTCAATCGTTCGTGTACCTTGCAATCGATCGTACCCTTAGTGCGATCGATCGCACCTGTGACATTTTTGGCATTTCAGTCGTTCGTGTACCTCACGATTGATCACACCTTTATTGCGATCGATCACACCTGGAACTTTTTTGTCACTTCATTGTTCGTAACCGTACAATTGATCGTACCTTTAGTGCAATCGATCACACATGAGAAATTTTGGTAACTTTTTCACGAAACTTCAAGACTTCATATCTCTTTCATTCTAACTCCAAATTAAGTGATTTTTTAGTCTCATTTTGTTGATTTTTCATTGGCTATCCAATTGTATACACGGTAGCATTCACTTTTGTCCTGAAATAACCATTTTACCCTTAGTTCCATTTTTCGTCCGTTTTAACCTTAGCTTCCTCATTCGTTTTCTATTTGAGTCTCGTGACTTTTTAGAAGGTCACTTGGTTATCTTAGATGTGGTGTTCATCTCTAGAGACTTCTTCTCTCTTATTACTTCCGCGTTTTGGGACTCGTGCCCAGGTCAGTTTTCGGCTTACTCGTTGACACACCGGGTTTTGTAAAATTTGGGTCGTCACAAACGATAAAATCCTAACCCTAATTTTTTCAATACCACTTAGCTACAAGAGAAATGGAGATCAGATTGATGGTTATGTTGTCATCAGAGAGTTTATCTTTGGTGCTCAAACCTTGCCGATACGTGAATCTTCCCCTCTCATTCTTAGCATTTGACTATGCACATACACAATCTTTCTCGCACTACACCCTACCTTGTCCACCGATATCAGAGACTTCATCTCTTCAGACAAGAGCAGGAGAAACAAATGTATGGATGTGTCTATATATATAGCTATAGCTAAGAAAACATAGAGAGTTTGGGTTCTGATTTTGCAGTGGAAGATGAAACCACCTTTGGGTTTTGGATTTTGAATTTTATTATTTTTTATTCGAACCATCAAAATGTGGTACCAACCGAAAAGAGATAAACATGAAGATCAAAAAAGAGTAGCAGTCTTACCCAAGATTTTTTGATTCACTCTGCTTCAAGGGATTCAGGGCTTGATTTGTGATTGTTTTTGAGATCTACTGCTATTGAGTTAGAGTTGGGGCTTGGAGTGAGAGTCGATATTGTTCTCTTGAAGTAGACCCGGACAACATCTTCTTGGCTTAAGAAACCCTAACTCACAAAGATCTTTGAAGATGAAACCTTAATCAAAATTTTGTTTCTGGTATTTGGTGCTGCAGAATAGCGTGTGAGAGAATTTGGAAGCTTATAGCATATATTTTAACTTGGAGTATGTAGTACAATAATATAGTTGGTGTTAACCGGGGTATATAGTATTAAATACATGTAACCGAGGTTAACACTGTTTGACTTAATGTGTTTTGCTTTCAAGCCAAACACGCATTTAAGGCTGCACCGCATGGGACAGCATGGTAAGTTACTTAAGAGGATTTTGTCACAGGCTTAGAGTTTCAGCACCACTCTAGCTGCTCCCGTGCGGCACCAAGACGTTGCTTTCACTCTCGCAAGTTCTTGGTCAGCCTAACTCCCGTGCACACCTTAGCCAACACACTCCCCTCGTGCGCTTACTAGTGTTGTAGTTGCCCTCGCCCTCTCCTCACTTGGCTTGCACACTCACACACACTAAGGCACTTAAGTTGGCAAGGAAAGAATACTTCTATTACTTCAAAGAATGCTTTGTACAAGGCTAACACTCAAGCTCTCTACAAGGCTCTCAAGACTCACTCCAGGACTTATTGCCTACAAAATGAAGTCCTACCTCTATTTATAGGCATCCCCATCCCTAATGGACGGCTAGGATGCATTCTAACCAACGGTGGAGATTGATTATCTAGAATCTTCTCCCACCTTCTTCACACTTCCATACTTATCTACTAGTATCTACAACATTCTAGAATTCTCCATACTACTCCACACAACTCTGGAGAACTCTAGAACCTTCCACACACTTCTACACATTTCTACACATATCTAGAAACTTCCACATAACTCTAGACTATTCCGGAAGACTCTAGAAACTCCACTTGCCATGCAGTTGCCATGCAGCGTCCTCCTCAGCGTCTGCGTGGCACAACCTCCATAGGCGGGGCGTGACAATTTGCTCCCCTTTACAATAGGGTGGTTCGTCCTCTCTGTTACACTATTGTGCCGAGTTTTGGTGGTGTTCTTTGATGTCTTGATCTAGAATGCTTTCACTTTTGTATTATTCACGGAATGGCAACTATATTTACCACCATTGATTGTATTGAAGCATTCAATGATTTTCTCGTCTCTTTCGAAATTGTTTAAGAACATCTACCCCGGTCTTTAAATTTCAAAATATAAATTCAACACTTTCTATGATCATCATCAATAAAGATAATGAAATAAAGTGAATTTGGGTACGGTTTACCTACCCAGCTTGTCATTGTTAATTAGTTAATTGCAATTGTTGCTGTTACCGAGGCCCAGGTTGTTGAAAAGTTCAGAGGCTAATAAAAAGCTAGTTGAAAGTAATTTAACCAACCCACATTCCTCCTCCCTTGTATTCAAAACATTTTTAGTTTGAACCATACGAATATTATCACTCTTGTAATTATCTTTTTATAATATCAGTTGCTTAAAATTCCAAGAAAAAATTATTAAGGACATGTGAATTTGATTTTTTATTTTGTAGATATGTGTAGTAAGATAGCAAAATCAACAGAATAAAAGCCAAAAATATAAAAAATTGATTAGAAAGCTGAAGGTCCAAACATGCCAAAACCTCTCTCCAACTGCATTCTTGCTCTTCGTGTAGTGCCCCCCTCCTCTTTCTCAATTATTTTGCCAAAATCTGGAGAATGCTTAAGGGTTGAATGTAAGAAAGCATATAAGCAAGCCAATTCAGATTGCAAGTGTTTCTACCTTAAACATTAAGGCTGGATACGTTGGTTTAACCTCTTTTTTTTCTTTTTCTTTTTTTTTTTTTCTTTTTTTTTCCTGCAATTTAAGTGGCAAAGGAGTTGGGTGAAATGAGTGGTAATCTGATTCTCTTCCTTATCTGTCTCTACTTAGAATATATCCAAATTTGTTGGGTTTATTTTTGGACTAAAGGGAGATTCATTGGACAAAGAAGCCAAAACTGGAGACAGTTTCTGACAATTAAAAAAATTGGGTTGTTTTTTTAATTCAGAGGTCCTTCTTTCCCTTTGAGAATACCTATGATGTCTGCTTCTGACCAATTTTGATTCTGGTTTAGTCAAATATGGTTTCTTTAGACGTTAAAATACTCCATGAGCAAGCCTCCTATGATTTTTCAACATTTTATCATGCTGACAATGAAAAATTCAGTTTGCTTTCATCATCATTTAAAAAAAAAAAAAAAAAAAAAAAAAAAAAAAAAAAAAAACGAGTTTGGTTTTGTACAAATTTGTTTGTTTCCTGGCTGCTTTTCTACATTGCCGTTAGATATCTCAGATGTCTTGTTTAACAACTAAAATGCTATTCATACTTACAAAAAATAAATAAATACAAAAATAATAAAACATTTCAGAAGTAGATGATCTTATTTGTAAATGAAGTTCAAATTTGCATCAATAGAATAAGAAGTAACAAATACTATGAGAAATAGACTTGTACCAAGTTGTATAGAGTCAGCAGTCTACTGACCAATGATCCTAAGTTTCTTGTTCCTACAAGGAGGCATGGGTTTCCCACATAAGCAAAGATTATGAGCATAGGCTTTTGCAGGGAAGATATTATATGGTCTTCCTTGTGGTACCTCTCCACATAATCTATTTGCTCTGAAGTTGGCATGTTTTAGATCTCCCAACTCTAGTAAGCTATCTGGGATTTTCCCAGTTAGCCCATTGATAGACAGGTCTAGCCATTGCATCTTCAACAACAATCCTAAACTTGTAGGGATTGTTCCTGTTATTTGGTTCCTTGAAATGTCCAATTTTTCAATTTCAATCAGGTTGGAGATTGAATTGGGGATGTGACCTGCAATTTTGTTGCTGCCTATGCTGAGCATTTTCAAGCTCAAACCTTCACCGAACTCAGGAATGCTGCCAGAAATTCGATTGTTCGACACGTCTATCGTCTCCAAGAAGTTGCTTGTGTTGTTGTTCAAGATCCTTGAGAGAGACCCGAAAAGCTGATTCGAGTGCAGATCGAGGGACGAGAGCCCTTCTGGCAATCTGATTTCAAGGAGATCGCATTCGATTTGGTTATTCGAAAGCTTGACCTTCTGCAAACTGGACATCTTTGAGAAGAAATTGGGAAGGCCATTAGTAAAATAGTTGTCAGAGAGGTCAATAGAGTTCAAGGAATTGGGTTTTGTGAAGTTTGGGAGTGTTCCTCTGAGATCACAGCCAGCTAAATGGGCATCTGAAAGTGCCCTGCTTGTGATCCATCTAGGAACTGTCCCTAAACTGAGATTGTTGTATGAGAGGTCTAACGACAATAGAGAAGGTATGCCATTCGAAATGGTTCTGGGAAGTGGATTCGAAAGCGAATTTCGAGATAAATTAAGGTACCAAAGTCTCTGCAACCTCGAAATGGATTCTGGGATCTGACCAACAAGGTTGTTGACACTCAGTTGAAGACTGGTTAGGGACTTTAGATTCTCAATCTGGTTTGGGATTCTTCCGGTGAGCCGGTTATGGCTCAAGGACAAGTCCAACAGATTGGGCAAGTTGCATAAGGAATTGGGCATTTGCCCTGTAAATTGGTTGTTGGAGAGGTCAAGGAATGTTAGGTTCTTGAGCTGGCCTAGAAAATCTGGAATGAACCCAGATAATGAGTTGTAGCTAAGATCAAACGACTGTAAGCCAAGGAAATTTTTGAAAGTGGGTGGGATAGGACCTGAGAGATTGTTTTTGGCTAAATTAAGCAGAAGAAGGTTTGGGAAATTCCCTAAGCTTGGAGGAATCTGCCCACTCAAACGGTTGCCAGTGAGTAAGAGGGTCGTAAGAAAGGGCAAGTGCCCTAAACTTGAAGGAATGTTACCCTCAAGAGAATTGTCTTCTAGAACAAGTTGGGTGAGTCTGGTTAGATTTGAGAAACTCTGGGGAATTGCTCCTGCAATATGTTTCATGCCACTGATCACCAAAACCTCCAAGAACCTTAGGCTACCCAGGGATGGGGACAGAGTGCCCTTCATGTAAAGGCCACTGTCCCTATCAGAGGATGGCCTCTGCAACACTAGCCCAGTAACCCTCCCTGTAGCTGGATTGCACTGAACACCCTCCCAATCTCCACCACAGCAGTCCTTCCCTGTCCATGAAGAGAGAATATCCGTAGTGTCCTTCAACATTCTAGCTTTGAAACCAAGAAGAGAGACTCTATCTGCTTCTGAACATGTTGGTGGCATAGGTGAGCCTGCTTGAGCTAGGGTTTCTGGTAACAGATCAAAGATTGAAAGAATGAACAGAAGCTTGAAAACCCATTTCAGTCTCTGCATTTTGGGAAGTGGGTTTGGATCTGATTTCACAGAATGCTGAGAAATAATCAAAATTTTGAAGGTTGGGATCTGACAGAAGGACTCAGAGTGGGAATAAAGAAGTATTGCTTTTTTTACTTTTTCATGATATAATACAGAAGAAAAGTTTGAAAAGGAGACAAGGTTTATTTCATTCACGTAGACAAGAAGGTTTAATGATGAAAAGGAGGCCAGAAAAATCTGAAGTGTGACTGAGAAAAAACAATGATATGGTTTGAAGATCTGAATTATGTTTCCCTTATTTATAGGTAGAGAAAAAAAAAAAAAAAAAAAAAAACAGAAATCTCTGTTTAGGAAAAGATTTCCTTGGGGGATTTAAATTCATTCACATGTAAATTTATGACCGTTTGATGGATCACAAGGACTGTAAATACCATTCGAACGTTGGAGCGCACCAGATTCAAAATTCTCTCTCCCACCTTTTAGCAATCAACCTCACTTTGCGCTAGTCCACAACTTCCTTACTCTCAACCATCATTTCTCATGCTTGGTTAAAATGTTTATGGTGAGGCAGCACCAGCACACAGACAGGCCATGTGAGCAACTTTTGTTGCTTTTACACTGTGCTGCAAGTAAATTTCATGACTAGTAAGCAAATACACAGTTGTAAATTTAACAAGATAAAAACATTGGTGGATTTTGTATAATGAATTACCACAATTAGTTGCTCAAATAAGATGTAGAGCACTTAATCATTTTTATTATCTTTTTCCTAATTTGGAAGTTTGCTACTACTTTTAAGTTGAATGAAGTACTTAAGGTTATTGAAAACCAGAGAGTACCAGTTGCACTAATGTTTATGCCTCTGCCATTGAGGGACCAAAGTTTTTTAAAGATAAGGTACTGAGGGACCAAAGTTAATTAATTCTTAACCACCATAGGCAAACCATATATGTTTTAGTTTGTATTTGTGCAATTTTTTAACTGATTTCGAGATGTTGATTGGATATAATCAATTGATCCATATTCAGATGTTACAATGCCCCATGGAACACATTAATGTTAATATTGAGATATATAGAAGGTTGTGTCTCGTATGGTTAAATAAGTTGGTTGATTCATCATCATAATTATTATTATTTTTTGTCTTAATATCGTAAGAAAGAGGTAAACAAACACATGATTAAATAACAAAGAATAATTAAATAACAATTAAAACCATACGGACCATGTTACTGATCATGCTAATTGTATCATAATAATATATACATATACTAATCATGTTAATTGTATCAGAAATCTATACTACTGCATAAATGCCAATGCTAATTTTATTTATTATATAACTTTTCAAGAATTTTTATATTTAAGAGAAATTTAAATAAAATAAGGTGTCCACTAGTGTTGGACAATGTCCATTCTCTGAATAGGTATTTCATTATGTAAAAACAACTACTCAATTAATCCTTGTACAAACAACTATTTTATTTATTTTAGAAGTCTTGCTTTTCTTGGATTCTGATTATTCAGAAATCTCGTCTTTTTTCTTGCACAAGTCTTTTATTTTTATATCATCTTCTTTTTTATGCACAAATATTTAGCTTATTATGTGTACTATATACATATATATGTATCATATTTTCTTAATAATGTGTGTGTTGGTCCTATTAAAACTCTCTTCCTCCAATCTTCTTAGATTGTTGTAATTTTTTGTCGTAAAATTGTGGATTGTAGATTCAATATAAAATGAAAGGAAAATAATACATTTGTTGAGAAAGATTTTTGAAATAATATATAAGGTAAATTACCAAAAAAAAAAAAAAAACCATGAACTATTTGTCAATCAACAACAAACCCCCTAAACTACAAAAGTTGCAAAAAAAAAATTCTGAATTACACATTTTTGATTTTTGTTGGAGATTGCATCTGGAAATGTGTTAGCTGAATCTCACTGTTAAAATATCATGTGACTGCACGTGACACGCAATATAATTTTTAATGACTATTATGCCCTTATGAGTTTAAAAAGACTATATTGCCCCTTATATATGTATATACAGAAAGAGTGTGTGTCAAAACGGTGTTCATCTTCTTCGGATCATTTAATTAAAAATAAATAAAACTCTTGTCGACCCAAACAAACCTTCATCGCACCGACAACACAGTCCCTTTTAGTCTACACACTCTATGTTGGCTATACATAAAAACCACAATCGACCATGAACATAGAGGTTCGAATTCTCTTCCTTAGTGGATGACGACTCTGCGATCACATCTTCTTCGGCTTCTTGCCTTCTCCATCATCCACATCGTGGTTCGAATCCTCTTCCAAGCGAATGATGGCTCTACTATAACCATCAATTTAATGTTGTCCAAGTTGATTTGGTTGTGATTGTCATTAGTGTCTTTCAATTTGGGTTTTCAGCTAGTGTCTAATTCAACGGCAAAAAGTGAGGTGACGTAAGTATTGTGGAGCTGGAGAAGATGCCGAAGTACTGGCCAAAGGTAATGCCAACGGGTGCGTTGGAGTTGGAGAGGATGAAGGCGAGGTTAAAGCCGAGTCTGAAACTAATCTCCTCCGACGACACCCCCCCCCCCCTTTCGTTTTCACACTTGCCGCCAAATTTAATGGTTTAGATTGAAACCCAGTTGCTTATTTTGGCGAACCTGAATTGAGAGCATGGTCTAGTATGACGTTTTTAGTGCCATAATTTTTCCCTTTAGGTAAAAACCTACTTGAGCTTATCCCCCAGGTTAGAGGTCAGCTATCATTGTTGCATTTTATGTATGACATATGTGATTTGGAGGTGAATTAAATTAATAGGGCCAAATTCAGAGAATTAAGGAGTTGCCACCTAACATTAAGTTTTTGTGGCGGCCCGAATTTTAAAGAACCCATTGCGTCAGCAAGTAATTCGAAAACTGACCGATAACGAATCCTAAACGTAGAAGCAATAAAAAGAGAAGAGGTCTCTAGAGATTGACACCACCTCTAAGATGCTAAAGTGACTTCCCGAGAAGTCACGAGACTCAAAAAGAAACAAATACGAAAGCTAAGGTTTAAAATGGACAAGGATACCACTGTCATTTCAAACAGAAATGGATGTCACCGTGCATACATTGGATAGCTAACAAAAAATCAATAAACTTATACTAAAAAATCACTAGTTAGAACGAAAAATATATGGAATTCTAAAGTTTTACAAAAAGTTGTTAGAAATGTGCATAGGTACGATCGATCGCACTTTGGGTGCAATCGGTCGTGATGAAAAATGATTAATGAAAAATACTGAAAATTCACAAGTGCGATCGGTCACACCTATTTGTGACCGATCGTGAGGAAAAACGATCGATGGGTTGTAACTGTCATTTTTCAAAAATTTTGAAATCTAATGAAAAAAATGGGAATTTTCGGGGAAAATTTGTGAAGCAACCCATATTCAAATTTGATTCTAAGATCACCTATAATCCAAACCAAGGATAAAAAGGGAAGTTAAATTACGAAAATGCCCCCAAGTGCATACATTAATGAAGAGATAAAAATAAGTTATATTACGCCCCTAGATCGGAGTCCGAATTTTGAACACACTACGTAGACAACTAAGTCTCAAAGACTCCAACATCCCTGTATCCTGTTTCGACATACACATCCACCAATCCATTCCTATTATAACATCGTATATGAAAATATGCAGGTAAGACACTAATATTACAACTTTATGTCTCAAAGTCTGTAATAACATTTATTACATAACAGGGATGTAACTGAACCAACATTATACAACATTTTCCCACTAATATACACTATTTTTTTTTATGCAAAAGAAAATACCACAACCACCATTCCCAAATCTGTCTAAGGCTGGGGAGGAACGTCTTCTATGACTTCCTTGCCATGACCTGAAAAGATGTGTATAGAATAGGAATGAGTATAACTGCTCAGTAGGAGTTGCCTAAAGTGCACTCCTTAATACCTCAGTGAATCCAAACATAGAACAAATATAAGATAAAGAGATCATACATGCTCGGGAAATGTAATGTCATGTGATATAATAAAATGAAATGTAATGCAATGCTAATGCCAATGCCAAAGCCACTTCCCTTTTCTTGAAACACCAACCAACAACTCATCTCATTTGTTAATGTACCTGGCCCGAAGTAATCTTTGGCACTATGAGAAGAGGACTGGTCATCTGTCCCTGACCTAGAGTAATCTCTAGGTCCATTTGGGGCCTAGTGACTTAACCACATGTAGGGTATGTCCCTACGTCTTCTCTAGATCCATTAACGACATGAATACGAGGTAATCCCCGTCATCTGACTCCCATAACTATTATCTTTATAATCCTTCTCAAAATCATCTAACGACATTCCCAACTTCTCATTTCATCCCAAATTCAGCCCTAAACCATGCGAGATGAATGAATGATTGTAGTGATACAATGTACCAACATTTCTATACCAACTGTCAAATTTTGCCCCATGCATAATTAACATTATCAATTCAGCGTCTCATGGATTATAGCATGCTTATTAGCAAAACCAATAACATCATCAAATTAAGCTCTAATACTCATATATATGAAAATTAAACACTTTAAGCATGCTTCCTTTCCATAATTATAGCATAACCACAACAACAATGCTTAAAAATAGTTTCATTATTCAAGTACACCTTATCACATAAAGAAACTCCATTTAAATCTTTAAATTTAAGTTTCAGCGGGAAAGGCTTGATTTTCAGCACTGTTTTTCAGCAAAAACAAAGAGGAATTGATTCCTTAAAAGCAAAGGTTGTGAGATTTAGGGAACCCTACCTCAGAAGAAGCTTGAAACCTTCCTAAAACAGAATCCAATTCAGCAAAAGAGGATTAAACCCACCAAAAATTGTAAAAAGCGAAGAACACCCCTTTGAAACATAACTACAACTTTTTCCTTCAAAACCCCTTTTTGAAACTCAGAAAATGAGAAAATGTATACAAAATTGGTATCAAAAGAAATTTCATAACCCCGGGAACATTTTTCATTCACATGCTCACATCAAACTCCTAACACAAAAGCCTCAAAATGAAACATGAAGAAGGTGACTACGGAGAAGAAAAGAAAACAAAAAATGGCTTTTGCAGATATATGTTTTGTGTATATCACTTCAAATTCATTTCCACACATCACCTATAGGCGTAAGGTGCAACCATGTGTGCTCTCCACATGTCAAACTTATAAATGGTCAAAGTATGACACTATGAAATGACTAAGAGGTCCTTCACACTTTCACCAAATACTAAGTATGCCATTAGCACACAAAATTCCATAACACCCCTCATGAAATAACCAAATGACATATAAATAAAATAACTCCATTAACAATTTAATTATGGTCTTGATAAATAAATAAAAATGCATCTAATAAAAATGTCCAGAAAAATGAAAAAGTGTAATTCATCAAAGCCTCCCAAACATAAAAGGATTTTGTA